GGATGATGACGACGAAGACGACGACGCAGCTTCTGCCTTTTTTTATCGCTGATTGATAGCGCCGGGCCATTTTTCTTGGTACAAATTCACTCAGACGCATTATTTTTCCATTTCCAAATGTCGGGGAGTGAGCGAGGAAAATGTTTTTTTGTTTGACAGATCTGCTTTCAAATAATGTATTTCTCGGAACGGCGAAGAATTTATCAACATCGTTTGATGAGTGCACTATTTTTCAAAATTGACGGATATGCTTTCGCGTTTTTCGCACAGAGGGAGCGTGCATTTTTTACGCAGGAGTCGTAGTCGAGCTTTGATTCTTTACAATTAAGTTTCGAAGTTATCAACTATATTGAATTATATTTAATTTGATGCTCTGAATTTATAACATTAAGTGGTCCAAGAGTGCAAGGATCACACCTCTATAAGTATTTAAGCTTGCAAAATTTAATTTCATTAATTTATATAATTTTGATTAACTGAATATTAATACATCTATCCCACTTATTTCATATGTTCAAATGTAATACTTATTGTACATTATATTTCCATATTAATAAACTTAATGATTTAAAGATGTAAATTAAATATATAAAAAAATTTGTAGTATGTAGATATAAAATCATTAAAATATTTAAACACACTAATAATAAGATAAAAAATGTGTTTTGTTTTAAATAAGATAAAATTTAATTTAAACGCAAAATAAATAAACAAATATATAAATATAAACAATTAATAAAAACACTTTGCAACTATAAATAATGAGTAAATTTGACTATAAATATACACAAATAAATTGTTATTCTACTTTTTTAGTAATCACAGTTATTTTAGTAATTTTTTAAAAGGGATTTTGCTTTTATATTATATTTACTATAATTATGGAAGCTTTTAAAAATTTGATTCCCCTTCGAGAATATAATTTGAAATTTTCAAATTTCCCTCATATGCCTTTGTACTCCACAGTTCAAAGCCATTTCAATTCCTATTCGACCGATCAAAAATAAATCAAATCGAGTCGTGACTGTTCTCTTGCATAGGACAACGTTGATATGAACCGTCGATGCCAAAACAGGCCGGCCCTGCTGCCGCTCGTTTATGATGCCAGTCTCGTGATAGCTTCATTTTTGTGATGGGCGACAAAACGGAATGACATGGCGGGCTGTCCGGCCAGTTCTGCTCGGGTCATTAATCAAATTTCCCATGCACGTCGGTCCCTTTTTGATAAGCGGCGCGGCGAGAAAAGTGTCATGAGAGCAGAGATGGAGGATCGCAGATTAGACCGGCCACTTATTTTGTAATTATCATTAAACACGCCGACTAGAGTTGGTATTATTCCCGGCCAGTCGTGTGTTATTTTATCAGAAAATTTCTTTCTTACTTTATTTCGCAGCAGCCTGAATAATATATCGTGACATTTTGAAGCCGGAAATTTAGTTCGTGGTGCCATTGTTGATGCCGTTTTAATAACTTAATTATATTTTCGTGCGGCCATGCTGAGTGAGCTCTCTCTCAATTCATCACGCCTGGACGAGCGTGGAATTCGACAAAAATTTAATTCATGTATCTCCTTGCAGTTCCGCTTGCACTTGTGTCTAATTATTCAGGCTCTCATCAGCAGTGGACCCAGCACGACGGATCTTGATGAGTTAGTGAAAAACACGCTTTTCGTTTTAGTTACCTGATGGAAAATTCCTCTCAATTAGCGCAGTTGTTTGTTTCTATTATTTTTATAAACGATTTTGGTCGGTAGAGAGGAATTCTGATACAAAATGTCTGCTGCATGCGTCGAGGAAAATTTGAGAGAATTCTTTTCTGTTCGTGAGAAAGGTTGTTTATCTGTTGAATCGAAATCGAAAAGAAAAAGATACGATCGCTCAAAAGCAACAATGTTGCTTTATCCCATTTTGATTGGTGGATTAGCGGTAGTGGTCGAGTGTGTTGCTGGTCATTTGGAAATTACATTCTGACCAGGTAGAAATCATCAGGGAAAAGCTTGAGATGCGATGATCTTAGAATTACGTGATTTGAGCACATAAAGGTCTGAGCGAGGGGCACAGTGAAAGGGGGCAAGCATTGCACGATTACACATTTGTTCTCCTATTGACGCATATTTTTACTTTGTTATATAATTCATTTCAATATTACTTAACAAATCAGAGATGATATCTCACAGCTCACTATGTACCTTAAAATGATAAAAATTTAGGCTACATTGAGCACATTTTTAGCATATTTTAATTAAAATTATATCAAAGTTTTTAGTAGTAAATTCCGTTCATTTTATTAAATATTTAAATTCCTCTATTCTAAAAATGTAATTTTGAAAAGCCACTGCACATAATGTTAAAAGATTTAAAAGAGTTTATTTAGTAAATTTAATTCTTCTTTTTTAATAGCTGAAATTATAAATTAAATTCAATTTCAATCTTGATTACGTTACAAAAAATCGTTTGCCATCATATGCCAACAGCTTTATTTGCTCCTTGAACTTGCACTTGTGAGTTGCATCACTTTTATATAGTGTGAGTTATCTCGCGTTTATCAACTATGACCTCTTTACAGTCAGTTTCACGCCGCAATTGCAGCTGGATGCACTTTGTTTGTCCAACGTGCACAATACGCGGCTTATATTCTTCTTGGTGTGTGAAGAGGTTGAAACGAAAGCTCAGCTAATTAATTACGCGCCACCAACACACTCGCTAATGAGCTCTAATCGGAGAAAAACAGAGGAAGAGATAAACTTTTCCCGAGAGATTATCGCTTTGTTGGTGGGATCCACAGCATCTTTTATACATTATGCATATTTATTATTTTATATTTCTAGATAAATTTTAGGTGCGTAATGGAAGATATGATGCTTGAATGACCTTTTGCCTTGAAGTTGGCGCGAGTGATGGATGATAAAAATATTTAAATTCAGTGTCAATCGAATACTCTTTAACCCCAGGACCTGCAACGCGATTATTTGTTTCTTAAAAAAGTCTTGGTGGTTCATACTGATGTGAATTCCCACATCACTGAGTGAAAATGAAATTATAGCTTTTTAATTTTGCAGGACAAGTCTCATTTTTAATATTTCAAAATTCTTGTTAAGGACGTGCATTGATGATTTATTCATATTGTGAAATAAGTTATTATACAAATAAAAATTTATTTAAGTACTATACCAGCCTTTGTTAATAAAATATTTGCGTTTGCAATAATCTCCACATCAATGCATGTTTAAACACAAAATCACAGATCTATTTTCACTAAATTGAGATTTTTATGAATTTTTAAATATTGATTATTATTTTGAAGGCTATATTTAAATGAAATATAGAATGAATCGGTACAAATAATCAAAATTTTCTAATAATTTAGTTAATAAACTTTGTTTGTTAAGGTTTTTTAGCATTATTGAAGGATAAAAATATTAAAAAAGCATATTTTTTTTAATATAAACCAGTGAAATGATAAAAAATGCAATAATATTTCTTTCTGAAGTAGATCAATTTACAAAATGAGAAATGATTTTGTAATGGACCGTATCAGACTTCACTGGCATCCCCAATCGATGAGCCCGTGAAAAGGTCCTCTCTATTTTTCAGATCTTTTGATTCCGAGAATTTTGATAAATTTCCCGGCTTGTCTCTTCGACGGTGGCTGTTGCCGCGGTATAAAGATGAGAGGTCACCTATATGACGCGCACACGGAATACACAAAAAAGCAGGCGGCGCGCTGCTGCTGCTGGCTGGTCTCTCTCTGTAATTTATCTTACTTTGCTTTATAGGTGTATGATCTGAAAGTCATTGTGTGGCGGATAAGCTGCGAGCACGCAACAGACGCGGGCATTCTATTTTTCTCGGATACAATTTCAGGTGGTCCAGCGTTTCGGTTTTCGTGAGAGAGCAGTTGCTGGGGGATCTTGTAACAATGCAGAAAACTCTTTGGACTCATTGATTGGTGCCGTGAATGGGTGACACTTGACAGATGGAGAAGACTCGGGACCAACCAGCATCTCTCAGCCTGTCACTCGGCAGCGCGAGGCAATTTATCCACATCATTTTATAAATAAGATGGATTACTCGGTACCAACTGTTTGCAGCGCAGCTCGCGCGCACATTATATACATTTGTGCCGGAATAAACAGCACACAAATGAATGCTGCTTTGTATACTCGCAGCAAGTCAGCTTCCCTGGAGCAGTCTTGTTTTCCTTTGAGAAAACGACAACGAGAAGAACAGTCCGCGCGTTTCAATTTCTAGAATTAAAAGCATCAGAGATATATTCCAACGTGATTATTAATCAGAGTCGCTCGCAGAGAGAGAGAGAGAGAGGATTAAATTCATATTCACATGGCACTTTCTGAGACCATGCGTATTTTACAGTTAATTCACTGAATAACAACAGCGACAGTTGGTTGCGACGTGGAAAATATGAGCGTTAGATTGTGCATTTTATAATTAATTATGCATAAAGAAGAACGGTCAATTTCAAGTTTCTATATTTGACATAATGTAAATATAAGTTGACAAATTCTGTTTATATTTCGGTTCATGGTCAAGGTACAAAAATAAAAATAAAAAGTGAAATCAATTGAAGTTATTGTCAATCAAATAAAATTTTTATTCATCTTATTCTTCATTTTAACAATTCATGTATTGTGTATAATTATTGCGCTAGATTATTTGCTTGAATTATCAAAATATAAGTATATACAAAAATTATTAAATTGAGTCATATGGCGAGTTGCAAGAGTTTTTTTTTTAGAACAATTTAAGATATGCTAAATGATACGATTTGCCTTATAAAATTCAGTTAGGAAAGCCTGATGTTCAACATTTATGCAATTTTGATTAATTTTAATTGACTACTCTTCTTCTGATCGGTGAGTCATTTTTCTTATTCGAATTCATAAGGACGGCATGATGGTAGTGGAAAATAACAAATTATACTCGATTAACCCATGGGTCACTTCATTAGAATCCCTCTAAAATTGTTTGCATATGTTTCAGTGTGTCGGAGAACGTGCCGGAAAAAGCTTCGCCTCTTTCACTCACTTATTCAGTTACTCAGCCGAGATAGAGAAACATCCCACGTTGATCATCGCAGCAATAAATTATTAGGCGGGTGCGGGAGGAGGCGTGTAAAAAAATGTGAGTCTTTCATATATGTTTGAGGGTTGCAGGAAAAAGCAGAAGTTTTTTTCGGGCCGGTGCAGGAATTTAAATTGGGCCGGCAATCTTTTTAATTAGATGTCACAGCAGAAAAAGGAGGAACAAAAGCGGGAGACGTGTGTGCGTCCTCAAGGCAGGATGACGGATGGCGTTCATCTGAGCATAGCAAAAGGTGATCGCGTAATCTATCACCCGGTCCACCAGGGAGTCCCTTTTGCGCTCCTCTCTTTCTCGCTCAGCTCTCTCTAGTGTGCCTGCCTCCGACGTGCGGCTGCGACGAGGAAAAAACGAAAGAAAACGAACACAATCTCCGTCAAAACAGACCGGCCCGATTTTAATTTATCACTTTAATTACTCTCTAATTTATTCCGCCCGAACACAAAAGAGCCAAAAGCGCGTGCGATTCGTGGCCTCATTGGGCGCCGCCGAGCGCAGAGAGTGAGCGCCGTTCTCTGTAGGCAACCAGCGTGACCGCATACTACTCGCATGGATGTTCAAAGAAGTCTTAAAATAGGTTTGAATGGTCTTTTGTGATGATTTACTAGCCGAGTCTTCAGAATTGAATTCGAGGAAAATGCCTTAGAACTTTCAAAAAAAGAACAAGAAAATGAACAAAGGGTTTCAAATGACAATTCTTTTAGTTTTTTGGTCTTAAAATAGTTCTTTAAAAAGAGAGATCGAATATTTTCAATAAATTAATATTACTGAATATTACAAGACAAAAAATAATTGTTGACAAACAAGAGTTTGAAGGAAGTAAAATAAAATTAAAATGGCTTTTTAATAAATAAATAAACATTACTGTCCCTTAAAAAGCTCTCAGGCTAATAATGTAACAAACTGTATAATTATATAAATATAAATTTCCAAAATAGTTTACGACAACCGAGACTGTTAGTTCAGAACTAACAAAAAAGTTAATCCTTTTGCCTCTTCGTATTAAGCACTAATAATACAAACTGAAAGCTTCATAAAAAATATTCTCGGAAAAAATCTGTCTCGCTCGTTTCCAGTTCATTTCTCTATTCATAGGCAGCATTAGCAAACACGTCTTGAGGCCACATTATCCCTTTGTGCCACATGCAGATGCACACACACGCGGTCAATTCAAACTGGAGCAACACAATCCCGATGCAAATGAGCGTCTCCATGTGAAGCCAGTTTTGTATTTTATAAATGTAAACACGATCGTATGTTTTGCGCCACAGAGTCAGCGGGAAATGGACGAATATCTCAGCGGGAGACTCTTGTGCCGATAATTTATGCTTCAAGGGCGGCCCTGATGTGCGGAGAAAAAACAAGTGCGAGAACCAATTTGCATAAATACCTTAATAAATAAAAATGCGTCCGATTGATGACTTTGGTGAAAGATGGAAAAAAAGCCTCTCTTTTTTTGCAATCTCTTGGACAGCTAAATAATAACGTGCGGAGGGTGTGTTAAATCTTCATCAAGGAGCTTTAATTGATAATTTATATCACGGCCTATCTCATTAAGACTATTGAAAAGATCTCTTTTCCATACTTTGAAAATAGGCTACCTATAAGGCTTAAATATTGGTTGTAAAATTCCCATCATGTAAAGTTAAAGCAAAAAACAAAAAGTTTTTAGCGAGTCATTTTTACAAAGTCTATAAATAAGTCTTTAAAAATTGTTAAAAAACTGAAAATGTTTTTATAATCTTGTTGAATCTGAATGACTTAATTTGAGAATCATCAGAATTCATTTTTAAGCAAATTGAGAGTAAAAAAATTCAAAACGATTTTTTTCAGAAGCCAACATTATTCAACGTGCATATTTTAATTTGGCTCAGGAAAAATGAACGAAAATAAAAATAAAAGAACATTCTCTTGGTTGTGCGCTGGCTGTGACACACGAAGACGGATATTTTTTATTCCGGCTCCACTTTGACACCGATTAATGCTGTTCTTGATATTAAAACATTTTTCAGACGTGTGCTGCCGCAGCCTAGCGGAGAGGACGGAGCTCGTCGCTCGGCATAGGTTGTAGTATATGTGAGTATTCATAATATTCACCCTCCAATATTATCATCATGTGACTAAAAAATAGCCTGCCTGCCTGGCTAGGGGTGCGCGGCGCGGCCAGACATTGATGGAATGCTGCAGACCGAAATTACTTCCTCCCCGAATATTTCCTGCTCTAATCTTATACGGAATGTGTTTGGATAATTTATAATCGTTACTCTATTCGTCAACAAACACCGAGCACGGCACTGCTTGACATTTATATTTTGCACCGATTTGCATAAACAATCATAATGTCTTGTTTGTACCTTGGCTGGTAGTAATGAATCTATCAAACTTTAAAAATTAATTTTGAGAGTAATAGAAAAAAAATATTATTATATTTTTATACTGCTGATACTTTAGTTTAAACTATTTGAGAAATTCATCTCTGGTTCAGCATAAATTTCAAAAAATTATTTTTCAATCTACAAAACCTTGCTTGATTTAATGTAAGGAACGGAAAAATTTACTTTACAGATCTAGTACATATCACTAAAGGATACCGCTATTTAAATTATTAAAAAAAAAACTTTAAATAGACAATGAAAAAATCAGATTTGTATAGTTTTATGCAATTAAAAAAAAACGTTTATAAAATTAATTAAACATATTAAATTTAATTGATAAATATACAAAAAATTTAAAACACAGTATAATATTTAATAATAACATATGTAACTCTCTCTTTTTTTTAAATATTGTTAAAATTTTAAAAATAATGTATTATAAAAATTTTTAGTATAGACAAAATCAAATGGAGTATAATATTATAGTTTTGGTTTTCAGCACCTCTCAAAACGTGTATATCTGATTTGGGTGGTTCAGCTCCCGTGCCGAGTGCGGTTGTTGCTAAAGTGATGTTAAGAGTTTTGTGTGTGGAAATTGCACTCGAGGGTGCCATGCCTGCAAGCGAGAGACTTGTTGGCGGGCTGGCTGCTTGCCTGGCAAGAAGTTGCCGCTTGCTCTCTCAGCACTTACACGCATTTACTACATTGCATTAGCAATCTCGATAACAACTTTGGCAAAACTTTGCCACGCTTCTCCGGCCGCAAAAACACCGACACGAGAATTCGCGCGGGGGTGCAGCGAGCGCCGTATATAGAAAGAGAAAACTTATTCCTGAGAGACGAGCTGCGAAAATAATTAGACGAATTATTATCTGTCACTCTTTTAATTACACGCACTCGTCGCGAAATTGCGTCGCTATTGAACGGAAAGGCCATTTTCTCCATGCAAATGAGTTGGGGGACAGATTTCAAGATGCAACGAAAATTATAAATGCAAATGCACTCCAAGAGAATGAAGGTTTCTGTAATTTATCACACGAAGAGATAACAGCCAAAACTGTCGCACCCTTTTCGAATGCATTATTTTAATTGAAAATCTGCTGCCGACGCGGAGAGAGCCGAGAACACCTTTGTTGAAGAGGGAAGGAAAACGCCTGAAGGTAGGCAATATGTCTGCACGGCTGCTCACCAGGTTGCTCACCTCACTAATCGCCTCTTCTTCACATCACACAAAATCATCACACCAAAGATTTTCTTCGGGTATATAAAAAAATAAAATTAAATGGAACACAAATTTTCTTCAGGGACTTAAAAGCATCAAACAAGATTTTCAAAGTGATGAAATCGGGCTAGAGATAATAAAAAATTTAAACGAGGACAAGACCGTCTTTCAATGATCTCCTCTCTTGCAGTGCCAATTACAAAAAAAAAAGTTTTGTCGTGTATGTATGCAATTAAATTTTTAAGACATTATTTTAACTCATTTAAAATTTACACATTGTCAAGAAGCCGTGTTATTAAACTAATATTATGGTTTTGTTCCACATAATCACAAAGAACAAAATTTATATATATAATTTAAATATCTTAGTTACTCGTAAGCTTCAACTACAGATCTGATATTAAAAAAAATTAGTTTTTTATCATATAAAAATTTAAATATATAAAAATATATACATATAAAAATTTTAAATGTATTAATAAAAATGAAACAAAACTTTAAAAACAAAATAAATATAGCGACTTATTTTTATATTTTGTTAAAATAGAAAGCTTTTTTAATGTTTTTTTATAATATTGTTTGTACTGACAATGAGCACAGTGCAGGTCTAAAAGAAGAAGATTATTATTGTGGGGGTTGCGCGTCACGTGACAGGGAGGGGTTGTATAAATATAAGGCGCAGAGCAAGCGAGCGAGCTAGGGAAGTGGGTGGAGGAGGGTTGACGTGAAATGATGAAGCGAGCCTCGGAGAAAAATGAGAGTGGCAGGCGACGTTAGCTGTGTGTAGGTTGAGAAGAGGGCTGGGCCGAGTTTGAAGCCGTGATGGATTATCCTGCGAGTCTTGCAGCAAGACAAGCGAGCTAGCGAGAGCGAGTGTGTACCATACCACCAGCACACAGCCTCGATGGATTCGGATGGAAAAACACCGAGGGGTGCACGCTCCGAGGAGACTTGCCTTCGTTCGTTCTTTCTTTCCATCTCGGGAAAAAACACACACGCCCGCACAGCCGCGCCTGCTTTAACGCAGCACCGAAAAAAACAAATCGAAAATGTTACAACCTGAAATAAATGCCAGCAAGGCCCCTTTTGGGTGTTCTGAATTCTTCAAGGAAAAAAATTTTGCAACTTTTTCTCTCAAGTTGAACAGTCAATCCATTTCAGTAAAACATTTCAGTTCGGAACTGAAATGTTTTACTGAAATGGAAATCAAGCAAAACAGTAGGAAATTGGAAATTTCCGTTCAATGAAATATTTAAAATGCAAATAAATGAAAAATTTAAACAGGGCAAACTTATTTGCTAATTGTAAGAAAAAAATGAAAAATGTTCATTGCAGCGAGAGGTTTGCCCAGTTTCAATTTTCATGAATTTCACTTAGAGTATGTGAACTTTCAATATACATTCATTCATGTTTGCTACTTTTCCTTGGTCAAAAAGGGTTAATTATAACAAATTTTATAGCGTCCACGGCCTTTTTAATGTTTAAATTATCAATAATATATTTTGCAAATATTCCCACCATGCGAAGGAATGACTTTTCGCCTGAAAATTGAAAAATACTGCCAATATTGTTTGTGAAAAATTTTTATATTTTTAATTTTTGTCCAATGATTGTAAATAAATCAATATATTTATAGCCCAATTCTGCTTAAAACTGTCTGAACGCTTGATTTTTATTTACACAGAACAAATAAATAAAAATTTTAATTAAACACTTAAAAGTAAAAGAATTTTGGTAACAATTATTTAAAAATTTATATAAATATAAAATTTTATTTTAATTATATAATTAATGTATGTATTAAATTTGTAACCAAATGGATTTAATAAATAAATAAATAATGAAAATTATTAATACTTTGAACATAAAAGTCCTTCCAACATTATCATCAGATTTTGCCTGTCCATAATTTTTTTCTCCTTTGAAGTTGATATCTTCCAGGTAATTTGAGACGGCCCGTATCTCTTTATTCGTCCATTCTCACCTCATTAAACGGATGTGTAGCACTTTTATTCGGCCAGAAAGATGACGGCAGATATATTTTTGTGGGCGGTCTCGCCGGTTGGCGTTTTCGCGCCGCAGACATCGGCTGCCCTGCGCTTCTTATATGTATAAATGTGCGTTGATATTTTGTGTAGCACCTGCCCTGCGAGATGTCGGCCTTTCTGGCAGCCGCCGAGCAGCCGCGTTTCCATCTTATTTTGGTGACACATGAAGAGGCAGCCCATTTATAATGCGGTGCCAACTCTATCTCTCGCTGGCGCTCGCTTGGCTCATTTCAAAATTATTAATTCGCGCGCAGTGCCACCGCCACCGCCGCCGGTGCAATTAATTTGATCAACAATTTATTTTCAAATTGTACCGCAAGAAGTGCTTTATTAATACGCGTTGTGACTTGCATGCGTGTACTCGGGGATTTATTCGGAGATTAACACACACTCTAGTTCTCTTGCGCGACTAATATAAAACTTGGCGCTTGCCATAGGAAAGTAACGAATAGAATTCTGAGACTGTGTGCATTTGTGCATTCGCTCGTTTGTCCTCTTTGTATCATTAACTCTAAACGCATGCACACCTTGGTTTGATTTAGGACATTGGGGAAGTTCACTAAAGTCTCGCCATGCGCTTCAAACATGAAGAAGTCAGTAAATAGGTTAAAAATTATAAATAAGGCTAAAATAAAAACGTTTCTTATAAGGATATATTTCAAAATCAAATAATAATTTTAAAATAATTTTAGTTGCAAAAAGAAGTTTATTTTGGATTAAACATTCTAGGCAACTTTGCCCCATAACTTCTTCTAATTTTCAGCTTTTAAAGTGAATAATTAAGGAAAAAATTAATAAAAAAAAAAATAGTAAAAATAAAATAGAGTTTATGATACTTTATATTGTTATGTGATGAAACAATAGAATTGAAAAATAGAAAATGTAAATTTTTCATTCTAGCATTCTACTCTGACAAATTCACCATTTTACTTTGCTTTTGAATCCATCATTAACTCTCCACAAAATTAATGATTCGAATGCCGGCCAATGGGGTGCAAGAGCGCACATCATTAATAACCAGCGTCGTCAGAATGTTTTTCTTTTTTTCAACAGCTCAATTTCCGCGTCGTCCGCCATACAAAAATCATTAAAACTTCATCAATAGGCCGGCCTCTTCATCTCTATTTCAAGTTGGTCCAAAAGCAGGCAAACAGAAGTGGCGAAAGAAAGGAAAATCAATTATTCAACGGGGGGACACACACACGTCCGTCGGATATTATTTTGACGCAGGCTGGCGACCCTAGGTCTCTCTCTCAAGCTTTCTCTGCCTTTTGTTGGGGACATTAAGGGGGCGGGGTCAGGAGCACATTATCCATTATTATTTGATGTGACCGCGTGCATGTGGAACACGCAAGGCCATCAAGCGTCAACCCAAATGGCCCTTTGATTGCCTCAAGGCATCTCACTCAGCCGGCCTCTCTTCGAATTATCCGTTTTATATTAGACTGCATTGTTTCAGCCCCAAGTACTCTTCAATTGCGACACGGTGAGAGTAATTAAAGTGACGACCGTGGCATTTGCACCGATATTTATAGTATTGTGAATTCATTAGCTGTATTATATGATTGGCGTGTCGCTCGATCCCCGGCCTAATTGACAGCCATCAACCCCTTAATGACTGACATGCGGCTCTCGACGCCACGCGACTTAATTAATTGGATTTTGCAAGTATAAATATGCACCTGGGAAATGAATTTATTTTGTTTCTAATGGGCCTAATACATCAAATAAAGCTACTAATATTTTCTTCAATTATATTTTGTCATTTTTTTTTTCAACAAAATTTATTTTTATTGTTAATCAGTGAAGTGGAATTTACAGGTAAAATAAGCTAAATAATTTTACTTTCAGGCATTTATAAATTAAATCATTTTCCTAGCTCTTGATGAAGAATTTTCACTTCTTCTGCATAATTTATATTTTATTCAGTTTCCCAGATTCGTAACGGATGATTTTCTTTTTTCTGA